ATTCCACATGGAAAGGATTAATTAGCATTGTTGGTTACAACTGAGACCATGTAGGAATGGGGATAAAAGAGATTTAACTGTGAGGATGTAATCAGAAATAGAGGTTTCAGTAGAACTATAGGATAGAAAATAAGACTGTAAAAATGGGCTTCAAGCCAATTTCTGGATAATGAGGTTTTTTTGAAATTGCTATTTATTTTTTCATTTGGTACAGGGTCTCACTGCACAGCTCAGACTCATAATGATCCTCTTGTCTCAGCCTCCACAACACTGGTATTGCAGGGATGCACCACCACGCCCGGTTTTGGTGGCCATCACAGAGTGCTTGGGGTTCCAGGGCTATTATGTCATGCAGTACTGGGTATCAAACCCAGAAGGGGCTTAGCTCATCAAGCTATCTTCCCCAGCCCCATGAGTTTTTAATTATCATTTGTCAACACTATCTACCAAATTCCCATCATTGAGCTTGACATGTAACTCAGATTTCTAGCTTGCTTTCTTCTTTTTTCTTTTTTTAAAAAAATGTATTTAATTCAAGGTCTCACTACACAGATCAGACTCATCGTGATCCTCCTGTTTTCAGCCATGCCGGGTCTCAGTCCCCATCTCAGTGCACCATGGGGGTGGGACCAGCGAGGCACACTGGGGATCAAAACTTGGCCCCTGCACCTGCCTAAGTGGATGCTTTAGTATACTGAGCTATCTGGCAAGTGCTCAATTTCTAGCTTTCTTCTTTAACTATTCATAGTAATTTTTTTCCTTTGGTCCTGTGGTTTTTATATGAGGCCTTTGACATACTAAGCACATGCTGAATTACTGAGCTACATCCTCCACCTTTACTATGTGCTGTATTTTAACTTACCCTTTCAACAATCCCTTTAATCTTTGCACGTCAGTATTTTATTCTCATTTCATTCCTATCTAGTTTAGATTCTGGGTTTCATTATTTTAATAACTCTTACTGATATCTTAATGTATATTTGTCTTTGGTTTTTATTGAACCCTCTTGAAGCCATCCAAATTCTGTGTGAACTGTGCAATACGATTTCTTTCTTTATGTCTAGTGAGAGAAGGAAAATCTCATAAGAGCACAGATTGATGCTATGATAAATTCATCACTGCCTATCTGGACATTATTATTATCTGGAAGCTTAATATTTTCTGAGGCCATCTTACTTTCACAAGGAAGAATTAAAATCTTCAATTTTCATCAAACCTCTTCCTGTGTTTGCTCTTGTTCTTGGTAGATGGTATTATATACAGGTCATTAGATTAGAATTACAATTCTCTGACACCAGAGCTATAAGCTTACCTGCAGATGCATCTAACCCCTCCTTAAGGGGCCTGGCAGATAGCTTGGCAGTCTGAGTACCTGCTTGATAAGCACAATGACCCAGGTTCAATCCTGGTATTACATGCCATGTCAGCCCCGTGTTGAGTGTGGTGGCTTACGCCTGTAATCCCAGTGCCTGGGAGGCTGAGACAGGAGGATCACTGCGAGTCCGAGCTGCATAGTGAGACCCTATACTAACTAAATAAATGATTTTTAAAAATTTAAAAATTTAATTCATCATTTCGAAGGGAGGGAGATACTTCTTCAGCTTTCCTAAGATTCAGTCCTTCCAACTGTGTAGAGGCTGTTTCCTACCTCATTTTCATTGTTGTTGATCATTCTTCATGCTCCTTAACAATTTCTTTCTTTTTAACTGGCTTACATAGCATTTACTTATGTCTTAGTTCATCTGATTTTAAAAGAAGACCACAGGGCATGTTGATACATGCCTGTAAATCCTAGCACTTGGGAGGCTAAGATAGGAGGGTTGCTCTGACTTGAGGCTAGCCTGGGAGCCTGGACTATGTAGTAAGTTCAAGGCCTGCCTGAACTACATAGTGGGACTCTTATCTCAAAAATCTGAAAGTAAAATAACGATTCCTTTGATTTTGTTTCTCCTGTGGGTGTTGTACTTTCCCATCTTTTCCTTTATACTGAATTCTTAAAAGTTAACCATTTTCTATGTGTCTGTCTATTCCTCAGCAGCTTTTTTCTCCACCAATCTACTCTTTATCAAAGAATTGTTCAGGTGTTCTGTTTTGTGTTTTTTTTTTTTTTTTTTTTTTTTTTTTTTTTTTTTTTTTTTAGGGAAGGGACTACACGGTGTTCAGGGTCTCACTACTAGGTCGGACTTGTAGTGATCCACCTGTGTACAGCCTCCCAAGAGCTGGGATTACAGGCGTGGGCCACCATGTCCCGAAGTCTCAATTGCTGTCTCTGCTTGCCCTGGGGGTGAGGCCAGCATGGCAGGTCCTAGAATTGAACCCTGGCCCCTGCACCTGCTTGCAGCCACTCTAATCCACTGAGCTATTTGGCCAGTCTTTGTTAATTTTTTTTTTTTAAACCCCATATTCCATTGGTTTCTTTTTGATCAGGAGCAATGATTTTCCTTCTGTCATTCTGAATATAGAGGGTAGCCACTGAAATGTTTTAAGTGGGGAAGGACCAGTTTTAGTGTGCTAGTTGCACCAAAAAGGGAAGGAGATATATATGACTAAATGTAAAAGATATCAATTGTGAGTCAGAAATTATATTTGCCTGGACTAAAGGCAAACACAAGAGAAATTTAAGCAGTATATAAGCAAGAGTTTTGATAGATTGGATATAGGAATTGAGGAAAGATATATGTGTTTTGACTTAGGCAGCTATGATAGTTGAAAAGTCCAAGAATTTTGAAGATTTGTGAGTAGATATATTCTGATCAAGTGCAGTTTCAGGAGCCTTTACAATTCTTACAAGAAGTATTAAGGGGGACATTTAGATACATAAGTCTGAATTTGAAAGTACCAACACATAAAAATAACTGAAATTGTTGATACCTGAATTATTATTTCATTTATGTAGAAGAAATTATCTAGTAAAGAATACAGAACTCTAGAAAGAGGTCTGTAAAGTAAGATGAATTAACAAAGACAACTGACAGCTTTAAAAAGAAGAAAAGCATTTTTGTACTCCTTCCAATGCATCATCATTTATCTCACGTAATGATAGTTGTTTATACATTTCCATGTACTCAGTAATTTCTAGGGATTATGGGTTGATGTAGTTGAAGATGTAGAAGTGTTTTCTGTAAAGAGCCAGTCTGTGAATATATTAGCCTTTGAGAATCATAATGATAATCTGCTTCTACTTCTCAACCCTACTGTTCTAGCCTGAAAGCACCCATGACAAAATATTTACAAGTGAATGGGAGTAATAAAATTTATAAATAATAAAGTTTGAGTCACATATAATTTTCATGTCACAAAATGTCTTTTTAATTTTTTTCACTTATTTGAAGTATGAAGCCAATTCTTTGCATGTAGGTTACACAGTCACAGAGGAGACGAAGGTTGGCTCACAGGTTTTGATACATGTTTCTGCTAAATTCAGCCTGATGCCTGAATCATATGCACTCAGTATATCTTCATTTAATAAATTACTGGTGAATAAGTTCTTGTTTGACTTATGAGAGAGAGAGAGAGAGAGAGAGAGAGAGAGAGACAGACAGACAGACAGACAGACACAGACACAGACACAGACACAGACACAGACACAGAGAGGCGGAGTGGGGAAAGAGTGTGAGTGAGTTGGTTTGGCTTGGTTTTGCCATGAGTCAGGTCATCATAGTGTGGCTTTTCAAACACTTGAAAGCAAGAATTTATACTTTTTGCATTTAGAGATTTAGTTTACTAAATTTAAACAATATTTTGTTAATACCTGAGAGCTTTAAAAATACATCTAATAGGTAGAAAATCACACCATTGCACTTTGAAGAATCTTAATTATCCTTTTTCTTTATATTTTATCATTTGGTCTTAGTCATCTGAGATCATAATTTGCCTGTTCTCTGTATTTATGTAGCAAGAAGTTAACATGAGAGGAAGTATATAAATATAAAGTTAACTGTTATAATATAGGTTAATTGTAAAGCAAGATCAAAGATAAGTTAGCCAGAAGATTATCTCGTAGAAAGTATTATTCATGCTGAGATTTGAGGTCTATGAAATGGTATGAGGAGGGAGTATCTAGAAAGAGTGGTAAATCCTGAAGTCTCTTGAAATCTCCATATTTTGCAGGAACTGAAAGACTTTTAGTTTTTTTAGGTATAAATACTTCAGAATGTCTATATTTAGGCAATCCTATAATAATGGATTATACAAAGAGGTTAGTATGCGTTGGCTGTTTTAAAATCTGATTATCTATATTAAGAAACAGCTCATAAGCATGGGCATTGAAATTAACTATGTTGAAAAATGTTGGTTTCCATTGTGTTCATCTTTATTAAAAATATTCAGCCAAAATTGCCATGATACTGATTGCATGTAAAATTGTATGGATTGGTAGGCAGTTGACAATATACTAAAGTAAATAATTGCTGTATCAAGAACTGAAGCACCAGACATTAAATGTGCTGAACAATAAGCAGTTGTGAGAAAGTGGTCTTACATGAGTAACTGTTAAGTCAGTAGTACAAAACTGCGGCAAACTAAGCTGTGACAAGATGTCTTAAAAGACAAGCTACAGTAGAACTTGGAAGTCATTGTCAGTGGGAAGAAGATATAACAAAGCTGGGAGAGAAAAAGAGTTATAGAAATGGAATAAACGTAGAGGTGAAAAGAGAATCCTATGCATTAATAGTAAAAGGGAAAAACAAGAGCAAAAAAGAATTAAGGAAAAGGAGAAGGAAGGATTCTGTTCTAGTACCATTGTGTTATATAGAGCAGAATAATAAAATGTTAATATCTTTTACTCATTGCCTAATTCTGTGAAGAGGCCTAAACCACAGCTGACTGTTATCTTTGTTTCTTCTTCAGAAACTTTGGTTTACAATACTTTGACACTGAAAATAAGAAATTACATACTTTTATTTTAATATTTAAGGTAATATTTGCAAATATTAAGTTTAAAATAAAATGTATATGCCATGTAGTATGCTATATTTATTTACTCAAAATGTTCTTTTAAGTGTTTCAGGCTGCATGTACCAAGTAGTTCAGACGATTGGCTCGGACGGAAAAAATCTTCTGCAGTTACTTCCAATTCCTAATTCTTCTGGAAATCTTATTCCTCTAGTTCAATCTCCAGTCATGTCTGATGCTTTGAAAGGGAATACAGGAAAACCAGTGCAAGTTACTTTTCAGACTCAGATTTCCAGCTCCTCCACAAGTGCATCAGTTCAATTGCCCATTTTACAGCCAGCCAGTTCTTCAAACTATTTTCTTACAAGAACAGTAAATACAACAGAAAAAGGTAGAGTTACTTCTGTGGGAACTGAAAATTTTGTTTCATCATTTTCTAAAGTTAAGAGTCATGGTGTGAACATTGATGGACTCACCATGAAAACATTGGCTGTTCCTACCTCAACACAAAGTGATTCATCTTACATTGTATTCAATCCCCCAAGTCTTCCAATGACTGTGAAGTCTCCAGTTTTGCCTTCTGGGCATCATTTACAGATTCCAGCCCATGCTGAAGTGAAATCTGTACCTGCATCATCATTGCCTCCTTCAGTTCAGCAAAAGATACTTGCATCTGCAACCACAAGTACCTCAGGAACAGTTGAGGCCTCCCAAATACCAACAGTTATTTATGTATCTCCTGTAAATACAGTGAAAAATGTAGTTATCAAGAACTTCCAAAATATTTATCCAAAACCTGTTAGAGAAATGCCAAAGCCAGTGATATTAAATACCACACAAATTCCAGCAAAAGTTACTACAGAGACACAATTAAAAGGTGGTCAGCATTCTCAAGCCACTCCAGTGAAATGGATTTTTCAAGACAATCTACAACCTTGTACTCCATCTCGTGTTCCTGTTAAATCTTCAAATAACGTGGCATCAAAAATTTTAAAGAGTTTTGTAGATGGGAAAAATTTGGGAACTAATGCTATAAGTATGCCACCACTGAGTACCGCTGGCGCTACTGGGACACAATCTGTAAATGTACCTTTAAAAGATAATGCATTGGTTATGTGTAATGGGAAAGTCTATCTATTGGCTAAAAGGGGGACAGGTGCTCTGCCATCACCAGCTGACCAACAGAATTCTGTTTCTGTTGATACTTCACTAAGAAAAGACACATCACAGGTAGTGAGTTCAAGTCCAGTGACAAAAATAACCAGGGAGGTTGTAAATATTGTTTTAGGTAAAAGTAAATCTTTACAGATGGATAGAAAATCACTTTCAAATACCCAGCCCTCTTCTATGGTCAATGTAAGTTCAGAGAAGAACAAAAAAGTGGAGAGACCATCTCTTTCTACCACAAACCCAAATAATATGAACCAATCCAGTAACTACCCAAATCAGAGTAAGACTTTATTCACAAAGCCACTCTTTCCAGATGGATTTAGTACAGGACAGAGTGCCCTGAGAGAAAGAAATATCATCCAGAGCCTAGAGAAAATAAGTTCCTCTGTTGATGCAACAGCTGTTACTTCACAACAGTGTGTTTTCAGAGACCAAGAACCAAAGGTAATTTTTCAATGTCAGGATTTTCTTATATATCTATGTGGAAATTTTTCCTTACTTAATTCTCAGACTTGTCTATGATATCTGTCTCCCTCCTCCCCTACATCATTGTGTACACAATTAAGTCAGAGCTTTCGTCTTAGTAAATACTTGAGTACAATTGAGAGACTAAGCAGTATCTTTCTTCAGTCATTTAGCTTGCAAATCTTTAGTACAAAATTTAAAAAAAATCACAGAACAAGAATAAGAGAGTTAGAGGATAATATTACTTTAAAAACTTAATAAAATTGTGTGCATATTCACACATATATACATATAGATAAACATAGTGGCCTACATTTAGTATGGGAAGGATGTGTATGCAGATTGGTGAGTTTCGGTTTTTTCTATTTTTGTGTGATGTTGGTGAGAAGATATTCAAATTTTTTTAGGCATAGTGAAAAGAGTGCAAGAGGTCTAGCAATACCTTTGAATCATTTGTGGAAGCAGGATTTTATCAGTATCTTTGGTAGCATTTTGTTGCTTTTGTTACTGTTTTTGTAGGCTCCTTTTTAAAATCTCTTTTCTAATTCTGCCTACCACTCAACATAATCACTAGCAACATACATAATACTTTTCTGTTCTGAAGCTGTATGTGTTTGTGTGCTTACTAAATACTTGTACTCACCTTTTTCTTACTTATGTAGCTGTCTAATTAGTAATATTAGTATTTCTCCTCATCGGTACAGAATTTATTGAGCTCCAGAGTTGTAAGGAGATAAATTCTGATAAGTACAAGACTGATTAAAGACATATGACTTCTTTTGGAAATTAGTATCTAAATAGTGCTATGTAGATTATTGTTAACTTACCATTAGTGTCTTTTCATTTCAAATTGCTTGATAATGAACCATCTATTACTCTTTGAATGACAATTTAAATGAGAAATTATAGAGGAATGTTTTAATTTGTATTCAGTCAAATTCAGTTTTTTAATGTGGGTGGTAAGGTAAAAGTAATGGAAACCCTTAAAAGCATAATGTGTTCTCATAGGACATTGAATAGTCACTTTGTTTTCAGTCTGAAAAATAACTTAAGTAATTAGCAGCATTGTTTGTGTTTTCTTTTCTTAATTCTAGATCCAGAATGAGATGGCATCACCATTAGAAAATCGTATTCAAGAAGGCAAGGATGTGAAAGAGTCTCAAGAAAGCAATAATAAGCGATCATATTTGAGGAGTGATGCCGAATTTAAAAAGATATTTGGTCTCACTAAAGATTTGAGAGTTTGCCTCAGACGAATTCCTGACCATTTGAACTGTGGAAAAAGTTTTGATTATTTTAGGAATGTGGTGAAGAGTGGCATATACAGAGAGACAGAGTATGTGGTGAAGGAAGAGAAAAAGAAACAGGTAATGACAGGTTTTAAAGTGTCCTTTGTAGGTACTGCAAAGATATATGGAAGTATTAATTTTCTTGATTTGCTTATGAGTCTTAGGCAGTTAGTATGAATGATATTTTTAGCAAGTTTGTGATTATATATGTCCAGATAGTGTTTAAAGGAACAATGTATACACAGACAAAAATTCATCCCCACTTAATATCTTAAGATGGTTTACCTACTGTTTTTTTCTGTCCATTGTAATAAAAATGGCTATAGTATTTCAACTAATCATTCCTACTTCGGAGACTTTATGTAAAGAAAATATTTCAAATATAGTACTAAATGTAACTGTCAGATTGTAGTATTAACCCAGTAACCCAATTTTGAGCAACATATGGTACCATTAGTAATGGAAAGAAATAACTCAATAACTTTAGGTACTATTGCTATATTTATGAATGAATGTATCATTTTGATCTAGTATTCCAAACTTTAACCTTTCCCAATGAAAAACTTCCTCATGTAACTATTCTGCAAAAAAAAAAAAAAAAAGACAAAAGTAAGTTTTATTTATCAAGTGTTTCAAAAGTGCTATTATATTTTGGGGGTATATATGTATGGCTTGTAATGTGTGCTTTGAGCAGTTGAATTAAACAGTGAAATAAGCAGATTATTCTCAGAGATTGTGATTAGGTACCACACAAAGTACCACACAGTGTGACCTGTTTCTTTTTGCTGTAGTTACCTTCAGGGGATAATATTTATTGAGTTCAGTTTAATAGCTAGATACCTATATCTACAAACTTTGTTAAATGTGAGAGTCCAGTATATGTATGTGTGTGTATATATATATGTATATATATATATATAAACATATGACAATAACTTTTTTTAAATCTTATTCCACATTGCAATAGAGTTGTGGTAAGAAAAGAAAAGCAAAACCCATTAAGAAGATGGATCACACAAAGAAGAGAAAAATAGAGAGTGCTTTTAACACAGTCACAAATGGGGAAACAAATGTCATCACTTCTGAACCCCTTAGCAGTGTTTTACCAACTTCAGATAACATTCTCCCAAGCCACAGCAAAACCAGAGAAGAAAAGACAATAGATGTAAAACATTCTTCCCAAGAGCAGCAGGAGGAGAAAGGTGCACTGAATTCAAATGTAATCTTTGAACAAAATCATTCCTTTAGTAAAAATTATACTGAAGATATTTTCCCAGTGACACCACCAGAATTAGAAGAAACCATCCGAGATGAAAAAATAAGAAGACTTAAACAGGTACTGAAAGAGAAAGAAGCAGCTCTTGAAGAAATGCGTAAGAAGATGCAACAAAAATAACATCATGCCTTGTATTAAAGACTTCTATGAAATCACTTTTACATAGGCCATTTTTATTAATACAGTGATTCCCCTCATATCTGCCAGGGATACATTCCATGATCCCAGGGGATGCCTGCAACTGAAGATAGTATTGGAATCTGCAGTTCCTTGATAGCCACTCCAAGTGCCGAAGACAGCTACCTTAAATACCAGTATGCACACACTGGACAAAGAAATGATTGCTGTTTTGAGCAGGACAGTATAAGAATACATTGCACTACTGAGAACTGATATACAACTTAAACTTATAAATTATTTCTTCTTGGAGCTTTCCGTTTAGTATTTTGGACACCATAGAAAACAACTATCAGCCAGGGAGATAACTCAGTGACTTAAACACCTGCCTGGCAAGCACAAGGTCCAGAGTTCATCCCTGGTACCAAAAAAAACATAACTATAAAGAAGGACTACTCTAGGTTAATTAAAGATGCATTAAAGTGTTTTTGAATATAAGCCTTGTTTTTCATCAATTGATTATAAAGTTTTGTTGAAGGACTACAGAAAAGGTTGATTAATATGATGTGAATAATACACATCAGGTACCTTTTAGATACCTTTTTTGGAAGGAAAAGTTATTTTTCTATTGTCTTAACTAAAGCTCTCTAAGGTTGGGTATTTGTACAGGGTTTTTTTTATTACTGTATCTTTAGCTAAATTTCTCATGTTGCTCTAATAATAGTTACTATATATTGTTGACATTTTGCAATTGAAGAAATGAGCTGTAAACCTAACTTTACCATTGAGCTTATATATGTACTTTGGTGTCCTTCCCCCTAAAAGGGATGATGCCTTCTCTTCAACACTGTTAATTTTTTAAATTTTATCAAAGAAAATATATTACAGCAGCGTTTTTGAAATGTTGAGATATTTCTCTGGCATGAAGGATACTTATTTTATAACTCTACAAAGCTATTTTGTAAATCAAAAAACTGTATTTGGAATTCACACTGTTTGAATGTTTGATGTATTATTGACTTAAAGTGATGTATTATTGTGCAGCAGTTCATTCTCTGCCACTTTTTTTGTTTATGTGTACATGCTAAATAGTGTGAAAAGTAGATCTGAACATGTATCACATTTAATACTTATAACATGACTACTTAATAGAGTCATACTTTTTTATCTGGCTAATCTTTGATTTGGGAGAGATTGTGAGATTAGTATGGATGATTTAAGGGGGGAAGAGAATAAAGTTACTAAAATGATTAACCAGCCCTGGATATAAAATACCTTAAAATAACTAATGGCAATAAAAGTAGTACAGCAGAAAACATAAAGCAGGAGCGAAGTAAATCAGTCAACTAGATTCTTTTCTTTTTAGTAGTAGCTTTGTTGAGATATAGTTTACATACTATAAAATTTACCATTATAAAGTGGTTTTCTTCAAAGGTGTACTCTATCAGTACTTCAGAACATTTTCAACATCCTCAAAGCTCGTGCCCATTAGCAATCACCTCATTTCTCATTCCCCCATCTAAGCAACACAATGTTTAGGTAGAATTATTTATGGTGAACATTTCATATACATGAAGTTACATATTTACTTTTTAACTTTTCTACTTAATATTTTCAGGGCTTGTTATATATTGGTACTTAATTATTTATTGCCAAATATTCCGTTGTACTAATAATTAAGTCATCCCTCAATACCTGTTGTTTGGTTACAGAAACTGCCAGGATACCAAAATCCATGGATGTTCAAGTTTTTTATGGAAAATGGCATAGTATTTGCATATGTTAATATTCTGTATAAGAGCAATACATCCTTTCATAAATGTATAAATTCTGCAGAAGTGATGTGTGTATTATAGAAAATGAGAAAATATAGCTAAACTAAAAATTTAAATACCACACTAAAAAATGAAAGTACTTCATCACTGAGAATTACTGACAAGACTAATGCATGTCCTTTTTGATCCTTAAAAATGCTTCTCCCTCTATATAATTGTAAGTGTATGTATGTTATCAGAATAAGGTTCCTATTTATGCTGTTTTGTATACAACTTTTAAAGTCAACAATCTTAATCTCTTCCTTTGAATAAACTTTGTCTTCTAATATTGATGCCAAGTTTTCACCCCAGAATATGATTTATAGCTGTTTTCTCCAGAACACTATCAAATTTAGGACTGTGCATTTTTATCTGGTTGTTGTGCTCTATAAAGACTTTTCTATTCAATACATTTTATAAAACACATTTGTTTTGTTTAGTTTTTATAGACATCAGCCAATTGTCATTTTTTGATACACTTGCCTTCAAAGGACTATACTGCTACTTGATTATTCAGCTCATCTCATTCTCAGTGCTTTCATTTGCCTCTCTGCTTCTACTTGGTGTTTGGTGAAATCATCTAGATTAGTAGCTTTAAATGCTACATGTTAATAAGTTGCAGCTTTATATTTTCAAATATGTCCCTTAGATTCTGCATTTATATAGCAAGTTGCCTATTTAAATCTGTTAGATGTCTCAATAAATATCTCCAACTTAACCCAATGGAAATGCTCTTTCCCCAAACTCCTTTTACCTACCATTATTCCCAATTTAACTAATGGCAACTTCATTGTGCCAGTTACTCTGGCCCAAAGATTTGTCACACATGTTTCCTTTTTCTAGCAGCCTACTTGCAATAACAATTGGCGAGTTCTGGGTTCAAAATACTCCAAGTCTGACTGGTTTCCAGCCTTAATGCAGTAATTAGTGCTGGACTAGATTATTAGTAGCCTTATAAATTGTCTTGTGTTGAATTTTGCCTTCTTGATTTAGAAATTGAAAAATATTTCCATTTCATCTTTAAAAAAAAAAAGGCCTTTGGTGTAGTGTAACAGGTTTCTGCTCAATCTCTTAGGCTTTATAATCAAATTACACTGTTGTACTCAATTTCTGTTCTACACTAATTGGAAGGCAGTACATTTTATCACAATTTCCAAAACGCTTTACAAAGATATGAAATATAGCATGATTTAATATTAAAGATGTAAACTGCACTAGTAGTTCATGCAAACTCAAACATCTAATCACCCTAAAAGATTAAGATACTATATATGCTGGCTTTCCATTACTATAAGATGTACCTGATGTGATTCACTTAGGAAAGATTAATTTTGGCTTCCTTTTGAGGCCTTGGCTCATGGTTGATTGGTTCTGTTTTTCTTGGGCTTGTACACGTGGCAGCATAAGCTGCTCACCTCATGTCAAAGCAAAAGACTACGGCTGGTCTAGTTAAGTTTGCAGATATTCACTATATTGCTAAATCTAACCGCTAATACTTTTATCTTGGACTCTCAGTATCATTTCAAGATTTTGATCAGTCTGCCACTATTTAATATATTCTTTACTCTTTACCGGATACATTACTTTTTCAATTTTTAAAAATAATTTTGAAGAGTAAAAACACAAATGATAACACAGTACATATGTTACAGATTTTCAAAACAAGAATAGCTGATCAACTGATATTTTTATCATCAAATCTTTGCACAGATAAACAGTTATGCAAGATTGGACATATGATTGAATATTACCACATGCTTTTAAGAAACCATATATTTTTGTTGTTTTTCTAAAATGTTTATTTAAAAGTATAGTAATAACTGATAAGACATTAGAAACAGTACAAATTTAGAAGACCAAGATGACAGGTATTTGAAGTGTAGTTTTTGTATTATACATTGTCATTCTCAATGTAGTTGCTTAGTTCACAGATACCAACATAGAGTTAGTCAAGGTGACAATTCTACACATTAACTGCCATTTTCAAAAAGAAATGATGGAAATTCTTAGTACAAGCAATCCTGTATATATACTTGTGTGATTTCCCCCCTAACGTTTATCCTATCTTATCCTTTCTTCATTGTTTAATCCTTAAGTTATTTTCCTTCTGTATAACTGTATCTGTTATAACTTTCTGACTTTATTTTTTTGTTTTTACACTAGAGAGAATACACATGTGGGTCTGGTTTACTTCACTTTTGGGTATAACCTCAAGTTGCATTCACTTATCTATGAAGGCTTCGAGTTTGTTTTTATAGCTGAATAATACTCCATTCTATAAAAATACCACATCATTTTCATCCATTCCTCAGGTGAATGGCATTTTGGTGGTTTCCAAGATTTGGCTATCACAAATTGTGCTGCTATACACATAGGTGCACATATATCACTATGATAGAATGTTTTCAGTTCTTTTGGGAAAATTCCCAGAAGGGAAATAACTGAATTGAATGGGATTTGCCGTCTTAGTTTTTTGATGAGTCTCCACACTGATTGCCATAATGGCTAGTCTACATTCTTAGCTGCAATGGAGAAGGGTTCCTTTTCCCCCACAGCCTCTCCAGCATTTGTTCATTTCTTTATGATAGCCATTCTTTCTGGAGTGAAATGGTATCTTAATGTTTTAATTTGCATTTCTCAAGTGGCCAATGATGAGCATTTTTTCAGATATTTGCCTCTTGTATTTCTTCCTCTGAGAAGTATGTATTCATCTCAGATGCCCATTTCTGGATAAGTTCTTTAAATTTTGGGGCCCTAATTTCTTTTAGATCTTTATTCTAGATAGAAAACCTTTGTCTGAGTGACAGTTGATTAAGATCTTTTCCAGAATTCTGGGTTGGCTTTTCACTCTGTTGGTAATTTCTTTTGACATGCAGAAACTTGTCAGTAAGAGGAGATTCTAGTTGTTGATTCTTGGAAGTATTTTCTATGCAGTTTGATTTTTCTTCATAAAATGTTTGCCTACCCCTATATCTTCAAGATTTCCACTTTCACTTCCAGTAGATTTAGTGTTTTTGTTTTAGTGTTTAGATCTTTAACTCATTTTGACTAGTTTTGTGTCCAGTGATAGATCTCGATCTAATTTTAGTTTTCAGCAGGTAGAGAGCCAGTTTTCCCAGCACCATTTCTTCAAGAGGCAATCTTCCAGTGAGCATGTTTGGCCCCTTTGTCAAAGATAAGATGATTGAATGTGTTTGTAGTTGTATCTGCATGTTTTAATGTTTCATTTTGCTGCTTGAGGTTTTATTTATTTATTTGCCAGTACCGTGCTTATTTTATCACAGTAATGTATTATAATTCAAGTCAGAGATTATAATGCCTCCTACCTTGGCTTTGTTGGCCAGGATTGCCTTTGCTATTCTACGTCTTTCCTGGTTCCAAGTAAATTTTAGGAATGATTTCTCTAGATGAGGTATGTTTATGATATTTTGATATGATGACATTAAATCTGTACAACAGTTTTCAGAGTATGGCCATTTTCATAACATTGGTTCTTCCTATTCAGGAACAAGAAATAACTTTTCATTCTCATTCTCTCTCTCTCTCTCTCTCTCTCTCTCTCTCTCTCTCT